CGGTGAAATAATGTCGCTTAAATCACCAAAATACCGAAAATAGGGAGGTACCGTTACATCGGAACTATACGAAGATCTGGACGTGCATAGACAATTTTCTGTCACAGGCTGTAGCATCCATTACGAACTTCAAATACGACATCTCAAACAATTTCTGTGAGTATTGTACCTAAAATCGTCAAAATACCGAATATAGGGAGGGGTACTGATATATGGGGCCTATACAAAGGCCTAGACATGCACGGACAACTTTCTGTCATAGGCTGTAGTATCCATTACGAACTTCAAATACCAAATTTGAAACATTTCCGGTGAAATAATGTCCCTAAAATCATCAAAAATATCGAAAATAGGGAGGTTCCTTTATATGGGGGCTATACGAAGACGTGGACCTGCACGGACAACTTTCTGTCACAGGCTGTAGTATCCATTACGAACCTCAAATACCAAATTTGAAACAATTCCGGTGAAATAATGTCGCTAAAATCAGCAAAATACCGAATATCGGGAGGTGCCGTTATATCAGAACTATAAGAAGACCTGGACGTGAGTAGACAATTTTATGTCACAGGCTGTAGCATCCATTACGAACTTTAAATACGACATCTCAAACAATTTCGGTGAGTATTGTACCTAAAATCGTCGAAATACCGAATATAGGGAGGGGTACTGATATATGGGGCCTATACAAAGGCCTGGACATGCATAGACAACTTTCTGTCATAGGCTGTAGTATCCGTTACGAACTTCAAATACCAAATTTGAAACATTTCCGGTGAAATAATGTCCCTAAAATCATCAAAAATATCGAAAATAGGGAGGTTCCTTTATATGGGGGCTATACGAAGACGTGGACCTGCACGGACAGTTTTCTGTCAGAGGCTGTAGTGTCTATTACAAACTTCAAATACCAAATATGAAACAAATCCGGTAAATAATGTCGCTAAAATACACAAAATACCGAATATCGGGAGGTACCGTCATATGGGGGCTATACGAAGGTGTGAACCTGCAAAGACAATTTCCTGTCAGAGGCTGTAGTGTCTATTACGAACTTCAAATACCAAATTTGAAACAATTCCGATGAAATAATGTCGCTTAAATCATCAAAATACCGAAAATAGGGAGGTACCATTATATGGGGGCTATACGAAGACGTGAACCTGCACAGACAATTTTCTGTCATAGACTGTAGTATCCATTACGAAATTCAAATACCAAATTTGAAACAATTCCGGTGAATAATGTCGCTAAAATCAGCAAAATACCGAATATCGGGAGGTGCCGTTATATCAGAACTATAAGAAGACCTGGACGTGAGTAGACAATTTTCTGCCACAGGCTATAGCATCCATTACGAACTTCAAATACGACATCTCAAACAATTTCGGAGAGTATTGTACCTAAAATCGTCAAAATACCGGATATAGGGAGGGGTACTGATATATGAGGCCTATACAAAGGCCTGAACATGCATAGACAACTTTCTGTCATAGGCTGTAGTATCCATTACGAGCTTCAAATACCAAATTTGAAACATTTCCGGTGAAATAATGTCGCTTAAATCACCAGAATACCGAATAAAGGAAGGTATCGTTATATGGGGGCTATACGAAGACGTGAACCTGCACGGACAATTTCATGTCTTAGGCTGTATATATCCATAACGAACTTCAAATACCAAATTTGAAACCATTCCGGGGAATAATGTCGCTAAAATACCCAAAATACCGAAAATAGGGAGGTACCGTTATATGGGGGCCATAGCAAAACGTGGACCTATATGACCCATTTTCAATACCAAAAGTCCTGCAGACATAATATACATTTGAGTAAAATTGTATCAACCTACCTCATTTCGTTCGGAAGAAAGGGTGATTTCCACAGAGGGGCCGACTTCCCTAAATCGACATAGAATTTTATGCTGATCAAGTATATATATACTTTATGGGGTCTAAAATGTATATTTCGAGGAATGACATACTTAATATACCCTCCATACTATAGTAGAGGGTATAAAAAGATGTTCTCTGAGTGGTCTTCTATGAGTGGGATACCAAGTGAGCTTCTGTGAAGATAGAACACCCAGTGGTCCTCTATGAAAGTAGGCCATGTTATCTTCTCTCAGAGAGAAGACAAACCAGACCTAATTTTTATCAAGAGAGGATTCATGATTTCTAAATCTCTCTCTCCCTCTCTCTTCCCTTTCCTCTCTTCCTCTCTTTGAAACTCCCCACTGAAATTCATCGCCAAAAATGAAAATAACCACTTCAAATCGTTAAACAACAAAATACTGAAATCAATTTAACTTTTCAACAATGTATGGCCCAACAATCAGGCCAATTGTTACTAAATTGTTGTATTCAAAATTCAATACCAAAAACAACCACAAAAAATGAGAAAAAAAAACGTGACGATAAATTAAACCGCAAAACAAATTTCTTTTCGAACTGGAAACCGAGATTCCAATACCTGAGCGATAAATAATTTGCCAAGGGTTTTCGCTACAGAAAAACAGCCACCGATAATGATGATGTGTTAACACAGCTAGTTAGTGAAACGTTTAAAAAATGGCGAGGAGTGGAGGGAGCTTCCAAAATGGTTGTAACTCTACTCGGAAAAAATAGCCCAAAGCTAATGTTGGCCATTTAGCAACGTTCAATGGCTCGAAATGAATGATCGATCAATGATCTGGCAAGTTTGGTCTTGTGCTAATTGCTTTTGTGGTTCTCATTTAGTTTTTTTTTTTACAAATCATCTCATTATTGCCGGTTTCTTTGCAACTTCTTTTTTTTTTTTTCTTTTATTTTTGTTGGAACTCATTTCGATGTCCATTACGTTTGGCTTAGCGGAGTGACCCAGTTCTAAATTTAAAAAAAAAAAAAAACATAAATCTCACATACAACAACTTTCAAATTTTGCAGAAGCATCTGAAGATTAATGGAGAGAGGGAAAATAGTAACAAAATGGAAATAATATAAATTTAGAATTTCTTGGCCAGAAAAACTCTAATCTATCGAAAAATGGGACGTGGATATAGGGTTCCCTGGTTTTTTTTATAGAAAAAGTTGGTCAGTAATCCCACGATTTTTTTTGTATAACCAACTTGGGGAATTAAAAAAAGCATGTGACCATTGGGTCCCTAGCAAAAATCGAGAGACCCCTCCTTGGGTCTCATTTTATTTTTCTATGGAAATATTTTTTTGCTAGAAAAAAAGTCGTGAGAACCCAGTTGGGGTTGTTGGGGTCTCCAAGTTTTTTTCCGATAGAAAAAAATTCGTGAGACCCCAGTTGGGGTCTCCCAGGTTTTTTCGATAGAAAAAAATTCGTGAGACCCCAGTTGGGGTCTCCCAGGTTTTTTCGATAGAAAAAAATTCGTGAGACCCCAGTTGGGGTCTCCCAGGTTTTTTCGATAGAAAAAAATTCGTGAGACCCCAGTTGGGGTCTCCCAGGTTTTTTCGATAGAAAAAAATTCGTGAGACCCCAGTTGGGGTCTCCCAGGTTTTTTCGATAGAAAAAAATTCGTGAGACCCCAGTTGGGGTCTCCCAGGTTTTTTCGATAGAAAAAAAGTCGTGAGACCCCAGTTGGGTCTCCCAGGTTTTTTCGATAGAAAAAAAGTCGTGAGACCCCAGTTGGGTCTCCCAGGTTTTTTCGATAGAAAAAAAGTCGTGAGACCCCAGTTGGGTCTCCCAGGTTTTTTCGATAGAAAAAAAGTCGTGAGACCCCAGTTGGGTCTCCCAGGTTTTTTCGATAGAAAACAATTCGTGAGACCCCAGTTGGGGTCTCCAACGTTTTTTTCGATAGAAAAAAAGTCGTGAGACCCCAGTTGGGTCTCCCAGGTTTTTTCGATAGAAAAAAAGTCGTGAGACCCCAGTTGGGTCTCCCAGGTTTTTCGATAGAAAAAAAGTCGTGAGACCCCAGTTGGGGTCTCCCAGGTTTTTTCGTTAGAAAAAAACTTCGTGAGACCCCAGTTGGGGTCTCCCAGGTTTTTTCGTTAGAAAAAACTTCGTGAGACCCCAGTTGGGGTCTCCCAGGTTTTTTCGTTAGAAAAAACTTCGTGAGACCCCAGTTGGGGTCTCCCAGGTTTTTTCGTTAGAAAAAACTTCGTGAGACCCCAGTTGGGGTCTCCCAGGTTTTTTCGTTAGAAAAAACTTCGTGAGACCCCAGTTGGGGTCTCCCAGGTTTTTTCGTTAGAAAAAACTTCGTGAGACCCCAGTTGGGGTCTCCCAGGTTTTTTCGTTAGAAAAAAATTCGTGAGACCCCAGTTGGGGTCTCCAACGTTTTTTCGATAGAAAAAAATTCGTGAGACCCCAGTTGGGGTCTCCAACGTTTTTTCGATAGAAAAAAATTCGTGAGACCCCAGTTGGGGTCTCCAACGTTTTTTCGATAGAAAAAAATTCGTGAGACCCCAGTTGGGGTCTCCAACGTTTTTTCGATAGAAAAAAATTCGTGAGACCCCAGTTGGGGTCTCCAACGTTTTTTCGATAGAAAAAAATTCGTGAGACCCCAGTTGGGGTCTCCAACGTTTTTTCGATAGAAAAAAATTCATGAGACCCCAGTTGGGGTCTCCAACGTTTTTTCGATAGAAAAAAATTCGTGAGACCCCAGTTGGGGTCTCCAACGTTTTTTCGATAGAAAAAAATTCGTGAGACCCCAGTTGGGGTCTCCAACGTTTTTTCGATAGAAAAAAATTCGTGAGACCCAAGTTGGGTCTCCAAGTTTTTTCGATAGAAAAAAATTCGTGAGACCCCAGTTGGGGTCTCCAAGTTTTTTTCGATAGAAAAAAATTCCATAAGTAATCCAGTTGGGGTCTCCAAGATTTTTCGATAGAAAAAAAATTTGTGAGACCCCAGATGGGGTCTCCAAGTTTTTTCGATAGAAAAAAATTCGTGAGACCCCAGTTGGGGTCTCCAAGTTTTTTCGATAGAAAAAAATTCGTAGACCCCAGTTGGGGTCTCCAAGTTTTTAGTATTTAGTACTTTTAATAAATTTTACTTACCATAACACTATTGTTATCGTAATCTTCGGATAGACTACTTTTGCCGCTGGCACTGCTGGTGCCAATGCCCAAATCACTCAAATCATTCGATTCATCTTCGGTGTAGACCGCCAATGAGGCCAATTTTTTCAGCGCAGGACGGCCAACACGATCATTTCTTAATTGTGGGTGGGGGGAAAAATAATACAAAAAAATAAAATTATTAAAAATAATTCAAGTGCAAATTTAGGTTGGCGCTTACCTGTCCTCAATCATTTCGGAAAATGTTTTCGATTTTCTGCGCGTACGATCATGCTCCTCCAATTCGAGTTTTTTCACCTCCACCACACGATCGATAATGTGCTCGACACGTTTTCTACGTGATGACTTCCAGTTGTCCAGGTTCTGGTGGCGATAATTAAGGGTTGGGCCCCAGTCGAGTCACACACAGAGTAGCCAATGTCCGCAGGTTGCAAGGTTCGTGTCGATGTTGGATATGATGTTGTCGGCGGCCATGTAAAGAGTGAAAGAAGAGATTCGAAAAACATGTTAAGAATTTTATCACTTCATTTTTGTTTTTTCAATTCAATTATTAGGCTACTGTAGGAAAACACAAAAACAAAAAATGTTTTCAATGAAAATTCATGCGAAAGCATAGACGAAAAACGCCAGCTAACAAATGAAGACAGCGAGAGAAAGTTGTTCGTCTCGAAATTATTTTTTCTTTTTTTGTTTTGATATTTATTTTCTTTGCCACATTCAATTGCTTTTAATTACGGGAGGTTTTGTATTAAAAGTCTAAATTGCCTTATTGACTGTCGTCAATAATTACTTGACTGACGGACTGACTGACTGAATGTCTGTCTGTCTGCTGTTGCTGCTTTTGGTTTGTCTAGAATCCACGACTGTTACGATGGTGTTCGGAATACAAAATTAACTTGTAATTGTTGATACGCCGAAGAATTTTTCAAATTTCACCTGCGATTCAAACACAACATTATATTGTGTCATCAAACTCTGGTCGCAACTTCGAAGCGGGAATTGAAATTGAGTTTCTCAATGAAAATTGAAAACTCACTTCGGAGAGTTTATCAATTGTCAATGGATGGATGCATCATCGGTGGCACTTGATTACACTGTCCGACAAAGTTCAATATTTTCCGTAATTACAGGGAAACCCCAGTAGATAATGAAAATACAGTTAAAAATCGAGGACACGTGTAGCGGCGTTTTGACAGGGTGCAACGAAAAGTAACCTAATTAGAGGAGATCCCCTCATAATCCCCTCTTCCATATTTTTTTTTTATTTATTTATTTATTTTTTTTTTTTAATTTTTCAATGTCGGATTCTTCGGAATTCTTACATTTTAGGAGAATTTCTTACATTCAGGAGGAGATCCCCTCAAAATTCCCGCTTCCATATTTTTTTGAAATTTTCGATGTCATTTTACATTTACACTTTAGGTATACAGGGTGAGATATAAAAAATCTGCAACAAAGTCAAACGGCATAATTTTTACATTTTTCTTTAAAATTTCATTGAATGAAAGCAAAAAATGTCGGAAATAGCATCAGATTTTAGAATAAGTTCGGATTTGTTCGAATTGGCCACCTTTGGCATGAATTGTGGCCTTCAAACGGCCAAAATGAAACCGTCACATGCTGCCCGAATGTTGCTCTGCGGTATTTTGGCCCATTCCCGGCGAAGCGCAACGAAGAGTAACCTAATTAGAGGAAATCCCCTCAAAATCCCCTCTTCCATATTTTTTTTTTTTTTTTAAATTTTCGATATCGGATTCTTCGGAATTCTTACATTTTAGGTATAAAGGATGATATCAAAAAAACTGCAACAAAGTCTAACGCCAATTTTTTTTTAGATTTCATTGAATGAAAGCTAAAAATGTCAGAAATAACTTCAGATTTTAGAATAAGTTCGGTTTTCTTCGAATTGGTCATCTTTGGCACGAATTATGGCCTTCAAACGGCTAAAATGAAACCGTCACATGCTGCCCGAATGTTGCTCTCCGGTATTTTGGCCCATTCCCGGCGAAGCGCAACGAAGAGCAACCTAATTAGAGGAGATTCCCTCAAAATCCCCACTTCCATTTTTTTTTTTTTTTTTTTTTTTTTTTTTTAATTTTCGATATCGGATTCTTCGGAATTCTTACATTTTAGGTATAAAGGATGATATCAAAAAAACTGCAACAAAGTCTAACGCCAATTTTTTTTTAATTTCATTGAATGAAAGCAAAAAATGTCGGAAATAGCATCAGATTTTAAAATAAGTTTAGATTTGTTCGAATTGACCACCTTTGGCATGAATTATGGCCTTCAAACGGCCAATGAAACAGTCACACGCTGCCCGAATGTTGCTCTGCGGTATTTTGGCCAATTCCCGGCGAAGCGCTTGCTTGAGGTGATCGACACTTTGGTGGTTTTTAGTGCCATCCTTGTTTTCGAAAATACTACCGACACAATAGTCCAACGGATTGGTATCCGGAGATTTTTGTGGCCATTGTGAGCTGGAAATGAAGCGAGGAACCTCATTGTGAAACCATTCTTGAGTGGCGCGTACTGAGAGCGATAGTGCGTGCTGAGTCCTGTTGGAATGTCCAAGGTCTGCGGCCAAAATGTTTGCGTGCCCAAGGCTTTAATACACCCTCCAGAATATTTTCGCTATAATATTCGGCATTTATTCTGTTTTGAGTCTATTTTCTTTCTGCTTCTGTTGCGGTGTAAGTTCTTGCACTTTTTGTAACGAGCGATGGTACGAGACACAAATTATTTATTCACATTTAAAAGCTGGAGCGCTCTAACGATAGCCCCTTGTGGTTTTCCAGCCAAATATAAACAAATCACACTATCACGCTTGAATTCCATCACGAATAGCCGTTTTTCTGGAAAATTCTAACCAAAATGCTTTTGTACGCTTGTACTGTCACTGGAAAAATTTTAACAGCTGTTGCAAATTTTTTATTTCACCCTGTATAGGATATTTTGGATTTTTTAAAAATATTTTCCAGGGTCAATAATAGCTCTTCGATTTTTTTAAAAATATTTTCTAGGGTCTATAAAAACTAATGGATTTTTTAAAAATATTTTCTAGGGTCTGTAAGAGCTTGTGGAATTTTTAAAAATATTTTCTAGGGTCTATAAGAGCTCGTGGATTTTTTAAACATATTTTTCAAAGTCTTAAAAGATCGGGGATTTTTTAAAAATATTTTCCATTGTCTGTAATAGCTCGTCGATTTTTTTAAAAATATTTCCAGAGTCTTTAAGAACTTGTGGATTTTTTAAATATGTTTTCTAGGGTCTATAAGAGCTCGTGGATTTTTAAAAAATATTTTCTAGGATCTCTAAGAACTCGTGGATTTTTTAAAAATATTTTTCAAAGTCTCAAAGAGATCGTGGATTATTTTTTAATATTTTCCAGGGTATATAAAGCTCGACGGTTTTTTAAAAATATTTTTTAAGGTCTATAATAGCTCGTAGATTTTTTAAAAATGTTTTCTGGGGTCTATAAGAGCTCGTGGATTTTTAAAAAATATTTTCTAGGGTCTATAAGAACTCGTGGATTTTTTAAAAATGTTTTCTAGGGTCTTTAAGACCTTTTGGATTTTTCAAAAATATTTTCTAGGGTCTGTAAGAGCTCGTGGATTTTTAAAAATATTTTTTAGGGTCTATATGAGCTCGTGAATTTTTTAAAAATATTTTTCAAAGTCTCAAAAAGATCGTGGATTTCTTCAAAATATTTTTCAAAATCTCAAAAAAATCGTCTGTTTTTTAAAAATATTTTCTAGGGTCTATAAGAACTCGTGGATTTTTGAAAAATATTTTCCAGGGTCTATAATAGCTCGTCGATTCTTTTAAAATATTTCCACTGTCTTTAAGAGCTAATGGCCTTTTTAAAAATATTTTCTAGGGTCTATAAGAGCTCGTGGATTTTTTAAAAATATTTCCTATGGTCAATAAGAGCTCGTGGTTTTTTTAAAAATATTTTTCAAAGTCTCAAAACGGTCGTGGATTTTTTAAAAATATTTTTCAAAATCTCAAAAAAATCGTCTGTTTTTTAAAAATATTTTCTAGGGTCTATAAGAACTCGTGGATTTTTGAAAAATATTTTCCAGGGTCTATAATAGCTCGTCGATTCTTTTAAAATATTTCCACTGTCTTTAAGAGCTCATGGACTTTTTTTAAAATATTTTCTAGGGTCTATAAGAGCTCGTGGATTTTTTTAAAAATATTTTCTATGGCCAATAAGAGCTCGTGGATTTTTGAAAATTATTTTTCTAAGGTCTATAAGAGCTCGGGGATTTTTTAAAATTTTTTTCTAGGGTCTATAAGAACTCGTGGATTTTTTAAAAATATTTTCCAGGGTTTTGTTTTTAAATATTTCCATTGTTTTTAAATATTTCAGGGTCTTTAAGAGCTTGTGGATTTTGTAAAAATATTTTCTAGGGCCTGACATATGTCGTAAATTTTTTAAAAATATTTTCTAGGGCCTGACAAAAATCGTAAATTTTTCAAAAAATATTTTTAAGTTGTGGAATTTGTAAAAAAAAATTCCAGAGACTAGAAGAGCTGGTGGGCTTTTTTTTAAATTATATTCCAGAGTCTACAAGAGCTCGTGGCTTAGAAATGACAGCAGTCTGAAGTTGGTTGCAGGTTTTTCATCATCTCACTCTGTATTTTAAATGTTTCATAATTCGACTTTCTAAAAATTATTGCCAATAATTTTTTTATATTCGTATTATGGCTTGATTAAAATTAAATCCATGACATATACATATCTATGCCATTTTTTAAACCCCATCACGTATCTATTATTTAATAAATTTACAATTTCTTTAAAATTTTTCAAAAAAAATAAAAAATGTTTGCTTAAACATGCCAATATTTGACCATTAAAAAATATGCAAAACAAAATTAAATAAAAATCCACACCCTTTCAACGAAACATAATACGAATAAATAATGTTAAATTCAATTTGGCACAATTAAATAAATAAACGTAACGAATTTGCCGGACAGACAGGCGGACAAACAGACCGTCTGACAAACAAATAAAAAAGAAAAAATTGTGTAAACAACGTTTTTATGCCAATACTGCGATAAATAAATGACTTCCTTTCCCACACTAATGGACTACTGGCACTAGAAAAATTGAAGAAAAAAAATCCGAACACACACCAGAAAAAAATTATCCACTTTGAATGGACATGATCAACATAAAGTGATAACTATAAAAAGATAATAATTTTTGTAGACAAATCCATGGGTAAAACCAGTAAAGAAAGTCTTAAAGTAGGGCGGGGCCGACTTAATGATACCCTACACCACTTTGCTAATTTAGTAGAGCTCCACATAACAGTTAAAAGTTTTTATGGGAGAATTCAAACATACAC